TTAGAAGGAATATTCATTTATTCCTCTAGCCCAGGGGTAGTCAACCTTTTTATACCTACCACCCACTTTTGTATCTCTGTTAGTAGTAAAATTTTCTAACTACCCACCGGTTCCACAGTAATGGTGATTTATAAAATAGGGAAGTAACTTTACTTTGTAAAATGTATAAAGCAGAATTACAGCAAATCCCTACCGGCCACCATGAAAGCTGGAACGCCCACTAGTGGGCGGTAAGGACCAGGTTGACTACCACTGCTCTAGCCTTGGATCATATTGCCCAAGCATACCTACAGCACATGAAGGCTGGATTAGGTCTTAGAACCATGGGTTGCTTACCAGTTTCAATGGATGTAGATAGGCTGTATGAGAAATTTGCTGCTGTCTCCAAAGCACCAAACAGCAATTTTTGGAAGAGCAGTTGTAGACGAAATAGCATAAACCCTAATAGGAATGTTATTGTATCATTGGTGGTTTGTTTTAATTGCACTGTTGCTGTTGTTTTGTTTTACAGTTTGCTTTACTGTTTGACACCCAGAGTTTATTAGGTGTTGCTTGGAAATGCTGTCAAATAAATATAAGCCACAACATTTTATAAACATTCATTCCTCTGTTGTTATTAGTCCATTTGTCTGTTTAGAATTTGATTTTACTCATAACATGTATCTCTGGCTGCAATATGGAACATCTTTGTATTTTGAGGAATTTACTGGCATACAAGTAGTCCTTTACTTCCAACCATTCATTTAGTGACTGTTTGAAGTTATAGTGGCCGTGAAGGAAGTGACTTATGTCTGGTCCTTGCACTTATGAGCACTTGCAGCATCTCCACAGTCTTGCGATCAAACTTTGGGTGCTTGGAAATTGTATTTATGACATTTTTAACCACATCAAACAATTATGACGAGAAAAAGTCAGAGGGAGACTATGATTTAACAACTGCAATGATTTCCTTAACAACAACAAAGGTTATAAAACTGGGCATGATTCACTTAATAACTGCCTTACTTAGCAATGAAATTTCTGGTCCCAATTTGGATTGTAAGTTGAGGCCTATATGTATTTTGATTTCTCCTTCATATTAAGGGAATTGAGTTCATTCCAAGCTATAGTTAATCTACTTGTTTTTACTGTTCCTTGATAAATAAGGGAGGAAGAATTTGCAAACAGCTGAAGATTGTTTAGGCGAGCATTGGCTTATCAGAATGATCGTTCCCATTCCAGAATTATACACTATCTGGTCAAGGCCAGATCTAGCGGTCTGGTGACCATGGAAGCAGAGCCACGAAGTTTTGGTGCCAGGATTTAATAACACTGAATGTCCATTAAGCTCTGTGCCTCTGCACAGGATTATAAAGTCAGTGCTGTGCACCCCTGGCCTTGGACTACCTCTGCTGCTTGAAATGGGCCTCCCTGCAGCTGAAGGGAAACCATCTTGCTTGGAATGCTTATGCTTTGTTGTGTTTCTATTTAGTTCCTATTATGGTTAAGTGATAAAGTTTGAAATCTCCTTATCCAATGGTACATTTATTTTTCTCGGGATCCAAATGAACCAATAGCCTGAACAATGGATCACTTGGCAACACAATGCTTAAATTCTATTAAAATAACTTACATTTTAAAATTCTATTAAAATAATTTTGTGCTTGTTTATAATGACAGGAGTATGTCCAGTGTCCAACATGTTCCTTCAGAGGTTTGTGCCTCTTTCTAACACCTATGCCTCCTCAATAGGAATTTGTTCTGTAACTAAGTAAAGGAACTTCTGTTTTGCAGTAAAAAAAACACCAGAGTTGATTTTTAATATCTCCTGGCAGCAGTGTTGGGTTTCAAAAATTGTTCGAACCTATTCTATGGGTGTGGCCTCCTTTGTGGGAGTGGCTTTGCCGCCCATGTGACCGGATAGGAAGATGCCGACGACACTTGTCAGAACCACCTTAAATTACATCACACACAGCACTGGCATGCATAAGAATAGGATGTAAACTTGTTTTTTAAAAGGCATCTTGGGTTTGCGTTAAAACAACTTCAACACACGCAATGTTCTGATTGCACCACAAATGCAGTAGTCAACCTTACCTTTCATAGAGGCACTGAGTTTTATAAATATGACCATGATAGTGTAGAATAATCATATCCAAGGACCAGTGGTGGGTTTCAAAAAATTTTGGAACCTCTTCTGTAGGTGTGGCCTGCTTTCCGGGTCCACTGGTGGAACCTCTTCTAACTGGTTTGGTAGATTTGATGAACCAGTTCTTCTGAATAGGTGCGAACTGGTAGGAACCCACCTCTGCCTGATAGGTAGGTGTAAAAAATTTGCAGTGAAATCTGGGCAACCACCATCAGCCAACAGTGGCAGTATTTGGCTAGTTGGATGGTTGCAGTGTCCTGGGACCATGTGATCACCATTTGCGATGTTCTTACAAGCAAAGAGAATGGGAAGCCAGATTCACTTAATAGTGTACATTTTGGAAATGATTTGTACTTTGTGTGAATGCAAGCTCTCTATTAAAGCAGTGTTTCTCAAACGTTAAGATGGGTAGACTTCAACTACTCCTGCCAGCATGGGGAATTCTGGGAGTTGAAGTCCGTACATCTTAAAGTTTCCAAGTTTGAGAAATACCGTGTTTCCCCGAAAATAAGACAGGGTCTTATTTTCTTTTGACCCCCGAATTAAGCACTTGGCCTTATTTAGGCCTTGTTATTTTTGAGGCACAGAAAGCGTCAAACATGGTCACCTCATGTTGCAATATTTTTGGGGAGGGCTTATTTTCAGGGGAGGGTTTATTTTCAGGGAAAGGCTTATTTTAGCGCATGCACTCAAAAGCTTGATTGGACTTATTATCCGGGGAGGTCTTATTTTTGGGGAAATAGGCTACTTCTTTAAAATTTCTATGTGAGGTTGAAAGGAATTGCTCCTGTAGCTACTGCTTTAAGGAATCCACTTATCAGAGTCCAGTGATCCTTAAAAGCAGCGACACTGTTGCCAGCCTTGAACAGAAAACTGCAAGCAGCTTTTCAGTGAACACCAGTGCAAGATTGGATTTCTTAATCATTTCTGAAGCATGTATACCCCACTGCATATGAAGAATATTTCTCTTCTGCCCCATTTAGCAAGGTCTGGTTTGACTAGAGCAGCAATGTAACATCCAGGCTGTGTTTTTCTCCCCCTGCCCTAATAAAGCAACACTATCCCCTTTGGCTTATGCTGGGTGAAAAAAAGAGAGAGAGGCTTTATTTGCACTGCCGATGAAGCATCTGCTTAAGAGGCATGTTCAAGTTACAGTTATATTGTCATCATGGCTTTTTTAACAAAAACATGAAACTTGCCTTGTTGCCTGATTCCAGATTGGTCACCATTTTGCATTTAACAAATTAGTAACCAAGCTCTCATATTACAAGAGACGAATGGTCTTCATTCTTAGGATCCTTTTTACCCGTCATAACTAAACACTTTCAGGCATATTGTAAGAGCATACTTATTTAGTTTGCCTCATTTTAAACTAGGACTGAATTCTGGCATCAGTGAAAAGATTAGAAGATTATGTTTCTGTTGTTTATAAACCAAAGTTTGTATTACACAAACACAGCAAACTGTAATTAAATTTAACTGAATTATTGAAATAAATCTTCAGATTCAAACACAGCAAACTGTAGTTAAATTTAACTGGATTATTGAAATCATCTAAATGTGACTTGTGGATTTGTGTTTTCTCACTAATCCAATTCATCTAAAACTATCCTTTTCATGCAATTGTATCAGGAGAGTAAGGTTCAGTAAAATGCATTGTTTCCAGTTTATCTCATGTACCCTTAGTACAGCAGTTCATGGGGATGGAATGTTAAGCAAGATGATTTTAGTAAAAATAACATCAAGTTCCTATTCCATTCTTTACAACAACATTCATAAAATAAATAGTAGGCTGCAATTTGAAAAGTAGATCTTCAAATTGCAGCGGAAAGGAATAAAGAGAACTTTTTGACAAAACAAAAGTGTACAAGCTGCTTGCTGTAAAATTTAATTAACAAGGCTATTCTTGTCAATATCTTGAATGACTATGGTTACCATCGCAGCAAAGATTTTAGACTATTGGAAATTATTTGGAGCCTCCAGAACTGCTTCTCTGCAGATTGCCTGCCAATTTTTGCTGAGAAAATAAAATAAACTTTAGGTGACATGTTATCAGCTGTTGTCTACATACCCATGATTTGTGTGATGCTCAAAGAAGTCAGCTCTGTGACTGGCAGCTTTAACAATATTTTGGGGTGGAAGATAAACTGTTGCATTCCAAAGTATAATTCCTTTTGTGTCAATCAAGGAGAGTAGTTGTTAGCAGCACAATCAACATTTTATTTCTCAACTTAAGATAGTGTTCCAATATACAAATAAATCTATTGGAACTGAATCCATCTTTCTTTTAAAAATACTAAGTCATATTAGGTTTGTGAGAGCTCACCTTATATTTACACATCTATGGGTCTAAGACAAGTACCCTTCTTTTTGCATAAATGGACTTGCCTACAGGTAGGATTGCACTACTGTATTTAGTTCTCATTTTCTACATCTATTGAAATTAAAGTTCATTTCTGCCTGCACTTCTTCCCACTCATTTAAGCAGATTAAAACAGAAGACAAAGGTCTATGGGGGAGGGGGGAAGTAGCTGAGAAGTTAATACTGTAATTTTCTGCAAATATATTTAGAAAAAAATGCCCTATGGAATTAAGTTGATGTTACTTCCACCTACTTCCACCTTCCAACCTACTCTGTAGGTTGAGCCTGCCTGTTCCTATGCAAAGGTATATAATATAGTATAAGAGTATCAAACAGAAATCAATTTTAAAAAAATGATAGATTATAACATATATATTACAGCACTATAATTTTGCATTTCCCATTTGTAAATCTTTCAGAAGAAACAGGAGAAAGCTCATTTACTTTGTCTGTCAGACCATGATAGCATGCACAAAGTATTAAATAATTCAGATTGTCATTGTTACTTACATGAAAACTGAAAAGGTCTCCCTCCAAGGCCACATTGTCTAACCTTCTCCCCATAGAATAGTCCATACTGAATTTCACCAATAAACTTATCTAACTCCTGGCCAGTAGCATTAACCAGCAATGCTCCAGTTTTGCAAATAATTTTTCCTCGGATCCATAGCTGAGTTCCTATAGCTGCTGCAATGGCCAGAGCACAAGCAAAACTGAACACACCAGCTATGCAGAAAAGAACTTTCTTCTGTTGGGCTGGCATATATAATCCTAGATGAAGCATGCAGAAAAATGTGAAAATACAATTTCAAATGAAACCTTTAGTAAGGTGGATTTTGAAGCATCCCTTCTCAATGATACTTGAGAACAAAGGTTAAAATAACAGATGGAAACCTCCGTGTAATTTGATGAGTGCCCTCTTTGGGTTTGTTTGTTTTTAATAGCCTTTGTCTGATTGGGTGAACTGAAAATTCCAGAATGAGACCTGGCTCTTGGATTAAGTTAGCCACTGTGTGCAGGGAGGGGGGAAATGATGCTTAAATTTAAATCAGGAAGAACACAATTAAAAAAATATATTCAGATTTTAACATTTTATCTTTGCATAGCACTAAAATGTGATTCAGGCAGATGATACGAGGTCTGTATGCTTAATATTATTATTAAAATAAGGCTGACATTGTTCTATTTTATCCTCAGATCCTCAGATTGGGCATATGAATGGACAATTGGTAATGACTATTTTACTACTTGTCACAAAGCCATTCAACTGGATGAGTGCTTTCTTTCAAACAAGTGTTATCTGCAAAATCCCAGATGACCTTTAGGTGCCAGCAAAGAGACAAAAACAGTCTCTTTGTAAACATCTCCGCTAATTCAAACAACTTTTCTAGTTAAGCAATTTCATAGTTAAATTAATGCACATCTAAATGTTCTAGTTCTGTTAAATGGAATTGTTTATTATCCCCCTAACTCCATTTCTCTCAATCGCAACGATTTAACTATTTTTCATTGTGCAGTAGAATCAACTAATTGAACTCAAAGCTTGTAGATTTTAGATACACTTCTTACTTATTCATTGTAAATCTCTCACTGAAGAAGAGTAGAATAGTAAGTAGAACATTGTATATAGCACATACAGTACCTGTTCTCTAATGGTGCTTTGAAATGGATTTATGTAAAACCTGACATTTGTAGAACAGTTTTCTGAATTTGAGCAGGGCAAATCATCTCTAAAGTTTAAGCATGTTGTAGTACCAAGCAACATATTATATGAATTCTTTCTTTCATTCTCTCTTTCTGGACTAATTCAACCATGGCATTCTTAATTAATTTATGCATATGTAATTATCCTTCCATGTGTAATTTGCTGCCTTGTTCTTTCCTCATACATATTGTAAGAAGCGGGGAAGAGAATTTGCACCAATTCTTATACACCTCTAAGCAGGTTATTCATACCAACAATTATGTTTATATGTTCGGAGCTCTAAGAATAATAGGCTAATTCCAGATATTTTCTCCCCCCCCAAAAAATAACTGACTAATGTTTTGAATGTTTAATGCGCATGTACATTTTTGGCACTTAGTGGTGATAGGTTTAGAGGAAATTTCTATGAAGAAATTTGGAGCTATAAAGGTTACAGCAAACACATAGTAGAGAAATTAGGCTGAATCCGGTGATTGTCCAGAACATTTTGTTCCAGCAATGGATTTATTTCTCTAAATTTTCTTTTTAAAATGCGGATGGAATCTAGTGCATGTTAACATGTTAATTGATTTCCAAAATCTAATTTCACATCAACCTTTTCAACTGATAGAAGACAAAGCATAAATTTATCTTTAATTTCCAGGCTAGCATTTCAAAAGCATCAAAAAAGGGAGATGAAGCCTTTCACAACTTGAATCCAAATATGGCTCTTTCACATGACCCAGTAATCATTGTTTTCTGTTATTTCCTCATAATATTATCTTGATTGATACCTATCCTATGCCATAAGTTTTATTTCACTATAGTAGTGCTATGGTCATATTTTCCTCTTATGTATACCATCCTATGACCTTCAGCAACAATTCTGATAGTGTAAATTTCCATCAGGTATCTGAATTGACATTTTGTTTGGAGACCAAGATCAGCCTTAACGGCAGCAGACAAGCAATGGTGATGAGGAGGGGATTCATGGTGAAGTGACAGAAGTGTTAGTCAGAGCTATAGGTTAGATTGGGAACTTGAAAAGCCACTTTATTTGGTCTTGTAATCAAATTTGGTATTTTAATCAAGAAAGCAACATGAAAATATGCATGAAGTCACTAGGAATAGAGCATAATTTGTTTCCTCAATACAAGTGTCATAATATACTTCTTTAATTTTGATATTTCAATGAAGCGAGAACCATTGATTCTTTCAAATGAAATGGACTGACCATTTCCACATTTAACCAAACATTTAACCACCATGTATAGTTGGTGTTGACAATACAAAATGACACTTTTGTCATGATAAATTTCACTTAAAGTTTGTGACACACATAATTCTATGTATGTGTGGAAAGAAATGAATACAGTTCCATAATGGTATTTTGTTAGTTTTGAAACCCAGATTTAGTAATAAAAATTGGCCCTGTCAATTTCTGACAGCCCTCTTTGCTGTCAGAAATATTTGAAAATAAAGTATTTGTGTTAAAACCTTAGAAGTATTTGGACTAATAAAATAGTTTGGACTACCTGCATGGACACAAGTGTGTGGAAATGGTAGAAGAAGGAAAAAAGAGTCAATAAAGTAGAAAATGATGATAATGGGTTTTTTAATTGCCCTAAAATAGAGATGTTATACTGAAATATAAAATGTTACAATCCCCACTGGAGAATTAGTCAACCCAGCATTCAAGTGACTGAAATTCTGCATAGGCACAGTAGGCAACCTATTCAGAGATTGAATGTACTAATTAAAAAGCTAAATGAATATTTATGTAATCTGTCAGGTGAGAAGATTTCATAGAGCTCTAAATTCAAAAGCTATACTTTATGAACAGTAATTGCTTTCCTAAATCAAGTTTCTGCATGTAGCGGTATTAGACCATGATCTTATAATATACTTTATCTATTGTTCCAAATTAAGTCCTATCATCAAGAACAGTCATTATTTTTATATAATGGATTTTATTATTAATGTATTATTACCTTTCATTATGAAAAAGTTTTTTTTTTAAAAAAAGAGGTAAATCTATAATGTATTCATAGAGGAATCCATAGAAGAAAGGATATTATAGCTGATTTGCTTATATCTACTCATATTATTAACTTCTAAAATATGAACTAATGTGAGTGTTTTTCTGTGGCCATCTGCATGTGTAGCTTTTTAGGTTAAATACAGTTTTGGTTGCTATCAGTAAAATTTCTTCATTCCTTCCTGGATTTCTGTGTATAAAATATAAAGATTTTAAAAGCATATTCTTTTATGCTACAAAGATTACGATAATCTTTAAAAGATATGCAAAGATTACGGATCAATTATGCAATCTACTACTCCCAGAATTTCTAAGAATTGGTGGAATTGCAAAATTGATCTTTTTCCTATTTCTTAAAAAAAAACATTTGAAAGGTTTTTAAAGAGGAAAATGCACTGCACAAAGGTTGCAGAAACTTAAATTTCTATTTAATCTTTTGGCTCATAGCATGCTTGAGTGGCCTTCAAGCTCGCAGAAGAGGCACAAACTAGATATAGTTGAAGGTAATGCACTAAAATACTGATACAATGTCAGAAGAAAATTCTGGTTCCAAGCCAGGTTATGAAAGAGATGCACTGGATGAGCTGCTTGAAAAGGAGGGTAATTTATTAGTTTAGCATAGGTTACAGCAATTGTGGTAACTACCAAATGGGAGGTTGGACCCTAGTGATATTTATAGTAAAGTTGATCCTTTGTGAGGTGTGGATCAAGGTGTTTGGTTTGAAGGATGTGCCATTCTGGAAGGTGAAAACATCATTTTCTCACCTTACTGGGTATCTTGATTTCTTGAGTGTATATGGGGTGCAGATTTTGGGGTACCACATTGTGTAATTTCAAGATTCCTGCATCCCGAAGGGATTTATTTTAATTATAATTAAGTTTCTGGTGTTCGCTTTTCCCAAGGCGACATGTTTTTACCAGTTTTAGCCCTGCTGTCAATTAGGGGCCAAGAAGAGCTTATGTTGCCTTTTGCAACGTTGTACTTTCTCTGCTTACAATATTGTATATCTTGCTTTTGGTTGAGTTTGCAACTCTTTTATAAATGAAGTGTCAGGGCAGCAAATAAATATGATTTTTCTGATGACCATAATTATTCCTCCCACTATAGTAAATTATATACAGTGGGACCTCCGGTCAGGACTTTATTTGGCACCTGATTTGGTCATGATCAGAAGCAAGACTGACTGCGCATGTGCACACACACACACAACACACAAACACACACACACACACACACACACACAAAGGCACGGAAGGGTAGAACGCTGCAGCAGGGAAATCACTGTGGCTGTGTTTGATCACCACCCGAGGATGGGTTCATGAACAGAGTGAAACATTTAGGGGATTTTTTGGATGGCACCTAATTTGGTTATGATCAGAACCGTTCGTGACACTAGGTTCCACTGTATCTAGGGATAATTCCTAAAACATTTTTTTCATCATGATTACTCGTGATTCTGGCTTACTGTTTATTTAAGATCCTCTGAATGGAATACATTAAAATAACTGAGCCCAGAGCCCAGAAAGACAAACCAAATTTGCTGCTTTCTGGGTCCCTTTAAAATGGCTATAAAAATGGGTGTTTGGCATAGAAAGTGAATCAGATAAGCAAAGCCAAAAGATCCCAAAATCCTGCCGGGTGACCTAGTTAATGGAGAAACTGTAAAATATGATGGTCCTGAAACATTCATGAATGGGAGCTATCTAGTATCTAGTTAAATACTTCAGTGATGCATATACAACCAGCTCCTGGTGTCACCTTCTGTTGCAGAGATGAACTGTTCTTGTCATTAACAATTTTCGTATATATTTATCTCTAAATTTCTCCCTGCTTGTTCTACTTCTGCCCCTTGGAGCAAGAATTCTGGAGAAGAGATCATCAATGGTTCTACAAACTTTATTCTGCTGTTTTAATTTATTTTTTGCTTGCTCAGGTGTTTCTAAAGTTGGGACTATCTTCAATATCTTAGATGAAAGTTGTATTTTCCTGGTCAACCTTTTCTTGAAAATTTCCAGTGATGAAGCACCCACAACTCTGGGAGGCAAGCTGTTCCACTGATTAATTGTTCTCACTGTTAGGAAATTTCTCCTTAGTTCTGGATTGGATCTCTCTTTGATGAGCTTTCACCCATTGCTTCTTGTCCTGCACTTGGGTACTTTGGAGAATAAGTTGACCCTTCTTCCTTAAGTACCATGAGAATGCTATCATGCCATCCCTAATCATTCTCTTCTTTAGTTTAGACCAGTGGTTCCCAACCTTTTTTTGGCCATGCCCCACCTAAGCATCTCTAAAATCCTGGCACACACCCCCCCCCCGGTGACATATAATTCTTACTTTATTCAAAAAGTGAACTCTACTTACGTGGAGGAAGCCTAAAAGGCCACAAACCTGGTTTAAATAAGGTTCAAATTGCCCCCATTAAAAAGCAAATTCCCCCCATCTCCTGCAGCACTTGTTCTAAAAATAGTTACTTCTCCAACTATCTTTATGGCCAGGAAGCAGTAGTCTTTCACCCATGGCCCAGCTGATGATTTATCATTTAGGCCTACAGGAAAATAGATGAGCTGTCTGAGTTCTACATAGTGAAGCCAGACATAGATATAGAAAGGAGCTGAACAGCTTCTAAATTTGGGGGCAGGTTAATAACCTACCTGTATTAAAGAAATCTCTAAAGACTTGGTCCTTTCCCCAGGCCTGGGACCTGGGGCATTTGAAGGGAATGTTTGTTTGTTCCTCTGGAGTAACTGTTTTTTTTTTTTTTTAATATAGTGTTGCTTTCCCTTTCCCCCGTCTTAAATCATGAAGCTGCCCAGAGTTGTTTTGAAATTGGGCAACCTAGAATAGATGGGTAAACAAATAAATGAACACACAAATACACTTTTGGCATTTTGCTCTCACACAGGGGACAGCTTGTGAAAGGTCTTACACAGGGGACAGCTGGTGAAAGGTCTTAGCAATACTAAACTACCCTGTTACCCAAACACACACTGGTAAGATTCTTTCTCCTTAAATTCTCTGGAATAGAATTCCATTATGGAATTCTCATCCCATTTTTTTCTTGATCTCTTTTTTGGGAGATTTGGAGAATACAAGGCCTTAAATCTGTCTTCTGCAAATTGCTGCTTTCGGGTATGGCTCCGCAGTACAACCAGAGGATCACAGAGAGGATCTTCCTTTCCCAATTCTGGCTGAGCTATGCCATTTCTCTGGGAAGTCAGCGTGAACAATGATGAAAGCCTTTGCAAGTTTGGTGTAGTGGTATCGAGCAATGGAGGATGCGGCATTTAGAACCACTAGCCAAGGCAGCTGCAATCTGTTGGAGTGGCTGGTTGGTTGCCAAGAGAACAAATCTTTCCATTTAGGATCTCCTGTGCCTTGGGCATTGATTAACTATTTGATTGCATCATATATTTTGTTGCAGTGATGTAGCAGATACAGATTTACACAGGCCTCACTGGGACTTCTGTAAGTAAACACTCAGAACTGATTAACATAGTTTACGTAATATTCCTTAAATACCTTGTATCACCTTTTGTATTTCCATTAAGTAGTTTCTCTCCACAATCTTCCAGTGCAGGAAAAAAAAAAACCCAATGCTAATTTGTCATGGGACTCCAAAAGCAACACATGCTAACACATTCCGCCAGTCAATGCATTTAATTAAGGAACCGATATGGTTGAGATATCCTGGTTAAGGCAAGTTATAGTCAAGATCAGTTAGATTGATTTTACTCTCTTGTCTCCAATTTATAGGAGAGATGGAAATTCACTTAGCCCACTGTAGCAATACTGGGCATGAAATTGGGTGTGATAACCTATTTTAGACCAGAAGTCCGTGATCTTTGTGTGGAGGACATTTGAACTTGTGACTTTGAAACCTCATGCGCTACTGGGGCAAGGGCAGTGGCGTCTGCTGTCATGGGAACTACATCCCTGTTTTTGTTTTTTAAAAGCCTTTCAATATCTCTCTGTGGAATTTGGCCTAGGGTAAGAGAAGGAAGAAATCCTGCAACTATTGGGAAGGAAGGATTCATCTCTTCTTGGTGTGTGGGAGGAAGGAACAGGAGTCTCCTTGGCCTCTCTATCCATTTTCACCCCGCCGTCTGGTCCTTCTTGTCAACCCGCCCTCCTCTCCCTGCCATCACCCTCGCTTCGCTCAGCTCTCCAGGGACGTTTGTCTGCGCGAGTGGGGGGTGTGACATTTGCCTCTGTGGGCGGGTTGGGTTGCAATCCTGCCGCATCCTAGCCGCCCTTTGCTCTCCCCGCGTACGTATCTATGTATGTCTCCCACGTAGGAGAAGAGCCAGACCCAGAGGGGGGAGTCTGTCTGCCAGCCAAGTGCTGCTCCCTGGTGCTCAGAGGCTGCTCCATCTCCAACTCCTCTCTCTCTCTCTCTCTCTCTCTCTCATTCATTTCGCCGGCTAACATGAGAGATCATGGCCGCCTTCGGGCTCCTGAGCTATGAGCAGAGACCTCTCAAACGGTCCCGTTTGGGGCCGCCCGACGTCTATCCGCAAGACCCCAAGCAGAAGGAGGTAAGCCCGGGGTTTCGCTGGCGCCCGTCCGCGCATACACCTGGTCCGGGGGAGAAGTTTGCCCGGAGATCACCTGAGAGGGGGAAGGGAAGGCTAAGGTGGGCAGCAGGAGGAGGAGGAGGAGGAGGAGGAGAAGGCGCCTGCCAGCCTCAGAGCGGAGCTCCTCGCAAGGCTGATTGCGGACCCGGAGAGATTTCGTAGCGTTGAGGTATGGGTTGGGGAAGTGGGGGAGGCGATATGCTTGCGCGCCGGGCCCTGACGCACTCTGGGGCTGTGTAGTAGATACCCGCCCCCTCCTCTTCGTCTCTTCTCGGTGCACTTCCTCCCCCCCTCCCCAAACTTTTGAAAGACAGCAGCTAGAAAAGAAAAGGGCGCTTCCCCTCCTCCGAAACCCCGACTTGCCTTTTTGCGCACCTAAATCAAGCCCCCGGGCTAGTCTTAAACCCCTGGTGACTGAAGGCCACCCCTCCCCCAGCAGGTGGAAACGGCTTCTCTTCCCTTCCCTTTCCCCCCATTCCCGAGCTTTCCTTAAGCGGGGCTTTTCTGACAGACATTGCTTATGGACCAGTGACTTGACATTTGGTCAGATGGGAGTGAAGCTGCTTCTCTTAGTCACCCCAAATCAGATGACTTTCAAAACACTGGCACTTTGCGTGTATTGTTCCAGCTAGTGGCACTGGGTTGTAACCATGACGTTATGGCACCGTGTAATTAACAGATAATTGCTGGGGGGGGGGAGAGGGTGAGAGAAGGGAGGTTGTTATAATGCTCAGTACAATTTATCAAGGGATTCCTTAACTCACTTGATATTCAGTTGCCATTAATTTCTGTCCTCTGTAGGTTAAAGTTGCAAGTAACTAAGAAACTGATAAATTAAGGGTTCCCTTAACGTATTGTAACCTTTATGTGGTTTAGCAGTTTGGCTGTAATATGGGCAGATTGTTTCTTGCTTGGCTATGGCCATTCCCATAAAAAGGCCGTGTTTGGCCCACAGCCAAAACTATAGTTAACAGTTCACACTGGCACTCTTCATGCATGCTAAACCATAAGAAACAAACTCCAATTACATCTCAGTCCGATGGTTTGATTCGTTCAACATGCTCCAACATGTTTCGGTTGGTTACTTAATCATAGTTTACACTTCATAGCGTTGGGTGAATCTAGGTAAAATCTGTTTTAATGCTTTTTAGAAAGGGGTGTTACACTACAACTTTGTCCTATTGGAGCAATTTTTATTTTATGTAGCTGAAACTCTTATAATTCTTATAGGAAATAATTGTTACAATAATTGTATATACATGTGGTAATATAAATATTTTTTTTAGTTCCAGATCAATGCAATTTTCTTGGCAGAATTTTTCACAAGTGGTTTGCCATTGCCTCCTTCCTCGGGCTGAGAGGCAGTAACTGGTCTAAGATCACCCAGTTGGCTTAATGCCTAATGTGGGACTAGAACTCATGGTTTCCTGGTTTCTGGCATGATGCCCTAACCCAGGGGTCAGCAAACTGTGGCTCTGGAGCCGCATGTGGCTCTTCCCTCCCTCTGCTGCAGCTCCATCACCGGTCGGCGCCACAATTTTGAGAGCAGCTTCCAGGGGGGGAGGGAGAGAAGCACAGTGCACCAGGAGAAGACTTTATGGCAAGGGGAGGGTTTCCAGTTGTCTCCACAATTGATAGGGCTTTCGGTTATGACAGGTAGAGGAAAAAG